ATATACTGCAAATCCATATCTACTCACTTTACAAGGAAAAACTTCTTTATTACTAATTAAAAGGAAAAATCTTTCCTTTTAAGCTCTCAAGTTCAACTGAAGAATTTTAATTTTAATTCACCGAATTTTCGATAATATTACTTTCTTTGTAATTCTCTCAGATCATCTTTAACTAAGTTAATTGTAAGTCTTAATCTTTTATTAAACATTTTAAAATCATTTTAGAGGCGTTAAATTTAATAAATTTGACGTTATGTCTGCAAATAATCCTGATTTTGTTTTTTGTTTATGCGATTTCTATTTTTTATTTGTAATAGTCGAAAAATAAGTTTTTATAATCATTGTGATGTTACAGATAAGCGAGATACGAGTAGTAATTTAAATTAAATATCTCATAAAAATCACGTGTTATTATTTTTTACAATAATCGTAGATACACTGAACTAAAATGACCTTCAACTGTAAACAAAATTATTAGAAAACGATGTTGTTATAATCACCAGTAATTAACATAAAAGACACAAACTCTATTTCGTAATTTTGTTTTGTTCAAAATACCTAATATTTACAAATAATATGTTTTGGAATCAACATATTATTTTTTAATCCTGCGATTTTGGGAAGGTCGTCCGTAAGTCATAATAAAATTTTTGTTATTTTTAACGCAATCCCCAGATGTATTTCACAGAAATTATCTATTTTGTTTTTATAGTGCAGTCAAAGAATGTTCAAATTATAGATAAACTTTTGTGTCTTAAGAAGTGTTTGTAAATGAATATATAATAATATTCTCCGCTACATTTGAAAAGAAATCGTTCAAGTCATTTGAGGTTAGACTTTCAATACAGTTTTTTTTTTTTATTTATTTCTTACAAAGTTTACTAAATGCCAACTTGCTTTGGATTTGTTATCTGCCATGGCTTTATAATTGTCATATGCATTCTTTTTTACACGTTTTAGTTCAATATTATTATTTTTCTTAAAGTTTTTAAAGTTATTAACAGCAACTGGGTCTTTTGTAACATCACAGATAGTTTTTAATGACAAAAAATCTCTTTGCTCTGTAAGTTCTTTGGTAAACCAACAAACAGGCTGCTTATTTAAAATACGTCTGCTCTTCTGTAGCGGAAAATGAAGTTACCAAAAAGAAGATAAAAATCAACATCTTGACTTGTTTTAAAGGATTCCCAATCAATTTTCAAAATGGAAAAAGATAAATTCCATATGCCAGAGTGTGAAATAGCACTAGTTAAAGTTAATTCTTAGTTATAACTGCAGTTTTTAGAAACAAATACTGCCCTGAATGATTAGAAAACAGAGGGTCATATACGCCAACTTTATAAAAACCCTCATTTAAATTTTGTTATAATATTATCCAAGTAACTAGATTGTGTAGGTGTGATCCTAGTATATTCATCGATAGTTATTGTCGGTAAGCAGGGGCGGTTTCTCCATAGGTTCAATTGTGCAGTGAACACCCAGTTACATTTCATAAAATCACATTATTTTAATAGTACATAAATAACAAAAATATAAATTTAATTTTAATATTTTTATTTTCATACGTGTTAATTTATATTTTTTTGTACATCATTGTCCTCTGGCTGATCGCGTCTCTGTGTCACAGTATACCTAAGTATACTGTGTCTGTAACGCATTATGATGAGTGAGCCTAACACGAGTGAGACGATATGCCGAATGCATACAGCTAAAAAGAGAAGACAACACGCCAACAGATTCTTCAAACTGTCAAAGAACACATTAATTGGCGCGCCGCTCACAAACAAGGTTGCCAAACTAGTGTTGCCAGTCTAGTACAATTCACACGTTCGTTTGATCTGTCTACAGGCACAGCATAATTTTGTAAATAACCATAGGAATAGAGTAAGGGTTATATTTTAATATTTTATCATTCCATTTCTTTTATTTTGCATATTAATCATTTTTCTTTAATTATATTTGACCAAAAATATAAGACACGAGAAACTGGCTGATAACACTAGTTCTTTTTGGTCTTAATAGGTTGGCAACTCTTTCGTTAGAAATTTGTCACTTTCACTTTTTTTTAGTTAGTGCACACTTATAGAAGATTAAAAGTGAAAAAATATTATGGTTTTACTTAATATTTATGGAAAAAATGACAAAATTACTGTCCCTAATATCGACCGTAGCCAGTTTTGATCCGAACTTACAAATGATAAAATTATTGGAAAAAGTGAACACCCATTTTAAATTACCACATCCGCCACTGCCTTAAGAACTCAACAAGTACTTTAAATCATTCAGAGAGGCATAATCTCCCTTAAAGTTAAAATTAAAATCACCTAAAACGATAATTGATTGCGAGGAATTTACAAAATCATCACACTGTATACTGTGAATATATTAATTTTAAATTGATATAGAGTAATACCACAGCTTATACAATACAGCTAAAACACTCTCTTGGCGGCAACGGTTTGCGTCGATTTCGTCGCGCATCGCTTAAGCTCCGCCTTCGGAGGGAAAAGACGGTTTTGGCGTACTTAGGTAAGGTGTTGAGTCGTGCGTATAATTTCGTTGATTGTATAATTTCGTGGAGCCTATAGTTTCGTTGATTTTGTTTGAGTCAAAGGTACTATTATTATTTTGGTGACTTTTTAGCTGTGTGTAGAATGAGTGAAAAAAAGACATCATTCTGTTTGTGCAGTCAAAAGCTGTTTTAATAAGGGTTATACCTGCAAGAAAACATTCTTTAGTTTTCCCAAGGACCCAAACCGATAAGTACCACATTATAAGAAATTTTCATTGTTAAAAATATAATTTATACAGGGTGTCCCATTAATGCGTTATTGTTCACGCAAAAAAGTTTTAAATAAAAATTATATGGATTTGAAAAATACCTACATATTTTAAAAATATCTTTGGATATACAGGGTGTCACGTTTTTGCCTGGCAAATTAAAATGTATGTTTTTTAAATGGAACACCTTGTATTTTATTTTATGATGAAATTATTAACACGCTAAATTATTAAATTATTATTAAAGACGAGTTGCTACAGAAAAATTTTATCAGGTATGTGTGTGGTTACCTTTTAATAAAAGCCTTGCGGATCCACTCCTGTGATACCTGTCTTAAATATAACAAAGATCACGTTGAATTAGATGATTTTTCTTTTTATTGCTTTTTAAAGTCATATGATAACGCCAATTCAGATACATTTGGAAATCTGCAACTGTCAAATGATGAATTTGTAAAACTACTATTCAATATTGAAAAGATATTTCAAAATAATTTTGAAGAATTGGCTACAAAAAATAACATTTGTACCACACTTTTAGAATTAATTAACCCAATACCTTTTAGGGCCGATTCCACCGTTGTGTTAAACGGAGATTAAAATGACATTGTTAATGTAAAATTGTCATTTTAAACTTCGTTTAACACAACGGTGGAATCGGTCCTTAGTCATCCATGCTAACGTTTTCCAAAAGAATAACCTCTTTTAATGTATGTTTAATCTCATAATTTTTTAAATTTGTAGATTTTCGTTAGTGGGTCGTAGAAAAAATATACTGACCATATCGAGTAGATTGTTCATATCACAATCAGACGATTGAGTTCTCCGCCTACGACGTCGTGCTCAAACTTCGTCTTTGTGTGATATGGCTATCATATCCACTCTTGTTGAACAAACTACAATTTATTTGTTTTCTTGGTTTAAGTTTTACATCAGAAATAGGAATTAAATTAATTTACTTTTCAAGTTTTCTTGTAAAAATCGATATTACTTTCTCCAAGTACAAATTTAGTACCTACCTAAAATAAGTACTAATTATGTTATATCTTGTAATATTGTAATTCAAATTTCACATTACTATAAAGTTTTAAAATTTCCTACTTCGGTATGGTCAGATAAAAATTGAATATATTATATTAATAAAAACTGTCAAAGTATAACTTCTACAAATATGTATTTCAAATAATAAGAATACATCTAAATATAACCAATATTGTTAAAACAAAAGCACACATTCTTTATAATTCCAAAATACCATAGAGTTCCCAGACCTCAGTCGAAGCATTCGTTTATCTAGGTATAAACCCTTTGCGCGAAGAGTAACACTTGCCAGAGACACGGGGGTACCACTTGATTTGCATCCACGAGCGTGACACAATTCTTTAACAATTGAAGCCCTTTGTGTAAAATGGATCCAAGCCACAATTTGTCGTGAAGTGACTGTTTTAGCTCAAAACATTTGTTAACGAGGATTTTACTAGCCATATATAAATTATTTAACCTCTAATCCGAAAGATGTGCTACTTTTCGTAATATTTATATTTAAATAATTTTTTTAATTATATTTGAAAGATTTAAAACAAATTAAAAATGTAATTTCCCAAAACTTACTTAATATGGCATGTGACCAACCTTATTACGCCAAGGTTTTCAATTTTTTCAATAATAAAAAAATTGTTTAATCCGGGCCCGACTTTTCCTTTGAATCTAACAGAGATAGCACCATTCCGTCTTGCTTGGTTCTCGACCGCCAGATCAAAGACGCCGACACGGAGTTGTGGAGCTGTATTGTATAAGCTGTGGTAATACCACAAAATTCTGAAATACCCGTTTCATTATATTCATCAAAATTCAGGCATTTTGTTATGAATTTATTTCTAGAGAAGATAGCAACTGCTCCATGCTCAATATTTTGATCTCTGTAATATTTTTTAAAAACATTCTAGGTTTGAATACACTATTACCAAACCATTCTAAAATTGAAATGAAATACAAGGTGTTCTATTTAAAAAATATACATTTTTACTTGCCAGGCATAAACGTAACACCCTGTATATGCAAAATTATTTTTAAAACATGTCTTTTTCAAATTTATGTATCTTTTATTTGAAACTTGTTTGCGTGTCTATAACACCCTGTATATAAACAAAAAATATAAACAGCTCAATACAAGTTAATTATAAATGCATTTTTAATTATTTAATCTGCTAAATACATACCACAAAGAGCCGAATCGTCATCAAAAATACGAAAATCTACATAGAAATTCTCATCACTATACCCAAAATCAGGCATGTCGAAGAATAAATCAATATTTACGTTCGAAAAACTCAAAATTCAAAACACAAAATCACGATATCAAAACAACTAACTAAACTAAACCAAACCAACCGCACAATCAATTCGAAAAGCTTATCAGTACCTTTCACCAACGAGGATGATAAGAGAATGTTGTCCGTCCCCCGAACCTTTTGTTATTGTTAACTGAAGGAAGGATTACCAGTGACTAATGTTCAAAACAAGAATTTTGTACCTATAATTATGTAAATGATGACTGAGATAACACAATTTGGTTAAGATATATTTGCAAAACAATGTTTTTGAGTTGATTTTGTTTGGAATACGATAATAATGGTTAGATATTAGTGTCTAGTTCCAAACGTTTTTAATTTATACAGACTGTCCAAAGGTGATATCTTCTAAAGTATGCATTTGAATGATATAGTATAAATGACAATTTTAATCTATATTAAATAATGAATTGGAGAAAAAAATCTTTTTAAATAATCTGTAACAGATAAAAATAGTTATTGTGAGTGTACTTTAGGAGATAGACTTTCTGAAGCTTTTAAGACCTAAAATATTGAAAATTTTGTCCTCGTAACGTTTTTCATCTCTCCCGAACACTATTAGACCAGGGTCGATAATTTTTGAAACAAAAAAAAACTAATAGTAGTATGAAACCCATTGGAAAATGAAGAAAATATAACAAACATGAAAGGAAAAATAATTTACGGGCGATCTGAGGTCGGGAAGTGGAAGGGGGTGAGTTTTCAAGGGTACAAAACGATTTCCGGAAAAATGGAAAGTGCTATGGAAAAAAGTTAAATGGCAAAGTGGTAGGTAATAAAAAAATCTACCACATCATACTTTTTTCACATAACCGCAAAGTTTATGTGAAAAATTCAAATAACCAAGTTTTTGGTTTTTTATTTTTCTTTTATCTTTTACAAAATTTGCTGAAAACTTACCTTTTTATGTCCCAAACACACTGTAATTTTTTTGGTTTAAAATATTTATTTTTTCACCTTATTTTGACTTAATATCGAAAAAAATCCCTAATTTTCAATCGAAAAATCTCCCGTCAAAATATATGCTATTTAAAAAATGAAGGTGTGCTTTTTGTTCGTTGAAATCTCTACTTTCTGATGGTTTAAAAAAATATACATTACTATGGTAAATGTTCTCAGAAAATGCAAAGAAACGAAAAAAACTCGAATCCGAACATTTTTTTAATAATTTTGTAAAATTTACACTTTAATTACTCGAAAGACGTAAGATTCGTTGTTACATTGATAAACAAAAAATTACAATCCATAAACCATAAAGATAGCAAAAAAAAAACATGAAAAACTATGAAATAAATGTAATTAGAATTTAATATATCAACTTTTTTACTGAAAAAAATTGCAACAGTAACATTTTTTTATATGAAATCCCCTTTAAGTCCTATTTTTATTATTTAGAACAACTATTTTCGCATGTTTTTTTGTTATCTTTTTGTTTATGGATTTGTTATTTTTTTGTTTATGAATGTAATATGGAATATTACGTTTTTCGAGTAATTAAAGTGCAAATTGTAATAAATAGCTCAAAATTGTACAAAATGAATAAAAAAAATGTTCTGATTCGACTTTTTTTCTTTTCATTTTCTGAGAACATTTACTATAGTAATGTATATATATTTTTTTACATCAGAAAGTAGATATTTCAACGAACAAAAAGCCCACCGACTTTTTTAAAAAAGCAGATACTTTGACGGGAGAATTTGATATTGAAAATTATCGTGCTTTTTCGATATTAAGTCAAAATAAGGTGAAAAAATAAATATTTTAAATCAAAAAAATTACAGTGTGTTTGGGACATAAAAAGGTAAGTTTTCACCAAATTTCGTGAAAAAAATTTTTGTTGTAAAAGATAAAAATAAAAACCAAAAAACTTGGTTATTTGAATTTTTCACATAAATTTTGAGGTTATGTGAAAAAAGTACGAATACAAAAGTGGTAGATCTTTTTATTACCTACTACTTTGCCATTTAACTTTTTTCCATAACACTTGTTATTTTTCCGGAAATCGAGATAAATCGTTTTTTACTCTTAAAAACTCACCCCCTTCCACTTCCCGACCTCAGATCGCCCGTAAGTTATTTTTGCTTTCATTTTTGTTATATTCTCTTTCTTTTCCAATGGGTTTCATCCTACTATTTTTTTTTACCCTTTTTATCATTTTCAAAGGCTTCAGCCCTGGTCTATATGTCAAAATGGCTGGGCTTATGCATTGTAACTCTCAATTTCAATTGTGTTGCTTTCATTAACCTGAAAACATTTGAAAATGTCAGTTTATTCTTTTAAATAATTGTTTACAATATTCTGCTGTTCTCTTTTCAATATTCTACATTACCTTTGTTCATTTTTAAATATCATTGGACTCCCCCTGCACTGCAGTCTTTAAGGATTTTTTTAATCCGTCTTTGATTCTTCTTGAATTCTTTTTTAATTTTTCTTTAATTCTTTTTTATTTCTTTTTTATTTCATTTCTTCTTTAATTCTTCTTTAATTCTTCTTTAATTCTTCTTTAACTCTTCTTTAAATCTTCTTTAAATCTTCTTTAATTCTTCTTTAAATCTTCTTTAAATCTTCTTTAATTCTTCTTTAATTCTTCTTTAATTCTTCTTTAATTCTTCTTTAATTCTTCTTTAATTCTTCTTTAATTCTTCTTTAATTCTTCTTTAATTCTTCTTTAATTCTTCTTTAATTCTTCTTTAATTCTTCTTTAATTCTTCTTTAATTCTTCTTTAATTCTTCTTTAATTCTTCTTTAATTCTTCTTTAATTCTTCTTTAATTCTTCTTTAATTCTTCTTTAATTCTTCTTTAATTCTTCTTTAATTCTTCTTTAATTCTTCTTTAATTCTTCTTTAATTCTTCTTTAATTCTTCTTTAATTCTTCTTTAATTCTTCTTTAATTCTTCTTTAATTCTTCTTTAATTCTTCTTTAATTCTTCTTTAATTCTTCTTTAATTCTTCTTTAATTCTTCTTTAATTCTTCTTTAATTCTTCTTTAATTCTTCTTTAATTCTTCTTTAATTCTTCTTTAATTCTTCTTTAATTCTTCTTTAATTCTTCTTTAATTCTTCTTTAATTCTTCTTTAATTCTTCTTTAATTCTTCTTTAATTCTTCTTTAATTCTTCTTTAATTCTTCTTTAATTCTTCTTTAATTCTTCTTTAATTCTTCTTTAATTCTTCTTTAATTCTTCTTTAATTCTTCTTTAATTCTTCTTTAATTCTTCTTTAATTCTTCTTTAATTCTTCTTTAATTCTTCTTTAATTCTTCTTTAATTCTTCTTTAATTCTTCTTTAATTCTTCTTTAATTCTTCTTTAATTCTTCTTTAATTCTTCTTTAATTCTTCTTTAATTCTTCTTTAATTCTTCTTTAATTCTTCTTTAATTCTTCTTTAATTCTTCTTTAATTCTTCTTTAATTCTTCTTTAATTCTTCTTTAATTCTTCTTTAATTCTTCTTTAATTCTTCTTTAATTCTTCTTTAATTCTTCTTTAATTTTTCTTTAATTCTTCTGCCAAGCATTATATATATTTACTCCAGTTTGAATTGCTTTAAGGAATGAAATTAATTATTAAATTTAAATATTTATATGAGTGAAGGGTTGACAGAAAGATCCCACCGTTTTTAATACATTTTATAATAAGCCACTTACGAGTAATCATACAGAATTTTTTAATTTTAAATCACTGATAATCCTGTCAAACTAATTTTAAGTAATTTTTTTTATTTATTGAGAATTATAATTAAAAATGAGCAATTCTTGTGAAGAATCGATAAACAGCGCCACTTTGTGCGATAAGGCCATCATATCCATTCTTGTTTTGTTTTTGTTTGAATTTTACAATTATTATTAGATAAATATACGTTAGTGTAAGAGTAAATAAAAATATTATTGTTAGGTCAGGTTTTATATTTTTGGTACTTATCTGTTTTTTAATTGATAGACTTTATACACGCTGCTAGATTACAATCAAAATATTTTTATACGTCGGCTGATGATAATTTTGACTATATTTAGATACTAATGAAATGAAACGAATTAAAATTTCAAGGTGAAGTGAATTAGTATTCCTAGTTTTACACTACAACTATTTATATAATCTAGTATACTGGGTCGCCTAGTTTATATCGTTAGGATTACACCAGTCGACAATTTATCGAAAAATAAAGGTAGTTTGGGGTCTATTCTGTAACAATTCCTTTATATTTAACGGCATTTAAAAATATTGGCGACCTTTAAAAATATGTTTGTATTCGTTAATTTACTTCTGTCATTATTTAAACAGATTTCTTTAAGATAGTACTCTAATGTATTTTAAAGATCCGTTTAAATAATGACAGTTTGTTGACAACTTTATGCATATGTTACAGTTGTTCCAGTAATCTCAGAGGCGTACTCATAGGGCACTCTGATTAGTTTTCACGTAGTAGATTTTTGGATTTTTCCATTTATTTTTTAAATAAACTAACTAAAAATACACCTTTCCTTGTCTCCTAATTTGTTTTTAGTATCTTAATTAATAATTAAAACTAACAATTTTGTAAAATTTCTGAATACCGGAGTCGTTTATTTTGCTATACAGTATCAGCTGGTGAAATCTTGACGAAATAACCTTGACCACCCTGTATAAGGTGTAGACAATTTAAAAGCACGCTATTGGGATTTCGTAAACCACTGGATAAACAAAATCCAAATTATGAGATTAATGTACCGGATGTTTTGAAATTCAAAATATCAGGTCTGAGGTTTTTATTTCTAAGGTAATAAGAAAAAAAATAATTAGATTATAAAACAAATAGACCGTTTAAAAAATAGGGATAATGTTTCACGATAATAACTTAATTTTTTTTAATATATTGTTAAAATAAAACTTAAAAATTTATATTGTCATTATTATTGATTTATTTTTTCATATTCTATATGAAAATATAGGCGATGTAGGGAAAACAAAA